GGGAAGGTGATCATAATAGATATGGTGATGGAAGATCGAAAACAAGATGCTTGTGGTAGCAAGGCGCAACTCTACATGGACATGTTAATGATGGTTCTCTTGGGTAGCAAAGAGAGAAACAAGAAGCAGTGGGAGAAGCTGTTCTGGGAAGCTGGTTTTAGTGATTACAAAATTTCTTCTACTCTAGGGATAAGGTCTCTCATTCAACTGTTCCCTTGATCAAATGCATTATGTATTATGGGATCCTAATTATATATTCATGCTTTGCCGTTTAGGTTTGCTTGTATTTCAATCATAATTTGGATCTGTTAGGAATATAACGGAATAATACGGAAGCGAAGAATCGAAAATTGAGAATTATAAAAGTTAAATAATAGGGAGAATATATAAATGACAAAAGTAGGAAATTGAGAAAATATAAATATATAAATAAATAAATAAATAAATATATATATATATATATATATATATATATATATATATATATATATATATATATATATATATATATATATATATTAATCTCTTAAAGAGAATATAAATCAAACATATATATATGCTCACGTGTGATAGTTAAAAGATAAGAAAGAAAGAATTTAATGAATTGATGCACTTAGCAAATAAAAACAAGCTGCTATTTAAACATTACAAATTAGCAAGAAAAGCGGCAGTTCTGCAGTGTTCCATGAAGATCGGCGAACGTGCAAGAGAGGTGGACAGCATGCGATGCGGAAGGTTGAGGAAAGAGTCTTCATGCATTAATTAGAGCCACATAATTTGAACCATATTCTAACAATCTCCACCTTGGATCAAATTCACGATGAAAATTAACAATTGAAACATCCAACTAAACTCAAACACTGTTTGAACTTAGTAATAGGTAGAGGCTTGGTGAGCATATCTGCTGGATTCTTTAATGTGTGAATCTTCTGAACGATTATATCTCCCGCAGCTACAACATCTCGAATAAAATGATATCTGACATCAATGTGTTTGGTTTTGGCATGATAGGTATCATTCTTGGTGAGATGGATAACACTTTGACTATCAGAGAGCACAATAGTGTGACCTTGTGAGACACCAAGTTCCATAACCAAACCCCGTAGCCAAGTAGCTTCTTTGACACCTTCTGTTGCTGCAATATATTCCGCCTCATTCGTAGATAACACAGCAATAGACTGAAGCGTAGCTTTCCAACTGATAGCACAATTACAAAGAGTGAAAATATAACTGGAAAGCGACCGACGTCTGTCAAGATCACCACCATAATCAGAATCTACAAAGCCCACAATATCAGTAGATGTAGAAGAATTTCGATCAAAAACCAAGCCCAACGGCGAAGTACCCTTTAGGTACCGTAGAATCCATTTAACAGCGTTCCAATGTTCCTTACCAGGGTTATGCATGTAACGACTCACAATACTTACAGCATGAGCCAAATCAGGTATAGTGCATACCATAGCATACATAAGACTTCCAACAACACTAGAGTAAGGAACTTTTGACATATAAGCCACATCAACATCAGACTTAGGGCATGAACCAGAGGATACCTTAAAGTGTGCACCAAGTGGAGTAGACACAGGTTTACAATTAGACATATTGAATCGATCAAGCACCTTCTCAACATACTTTTTCTGGGATAGATAAAGTTTACCCGCTTGACGATCCTTGTGTATCTCCATGCCAAGAATCTTCTTTGCTGCACCAAGGTCTTTCATCTCAAACTCATTGCTTAGTTGAGACTTCAAGTCATCAACCAGGGACATATCAGGGGAAGCAATGAGCATATCATCAACATAAAGAAGTAAATAGACAAAAGACCCATTAGAAAATTCTTTAAAATAGACACAGCTATCATACTGGCTTCTTGAGAATCCTTGCCCCAACATACACGCATCAAACCGCTTATACCATTGCCTCGGAGCTTGCTTTAGCCCATAAAGAGACTTTTGTAGATGGCAGACACAATGTTCCTTCCCAGGAACTTCAAATCCCTCAGGTTGGTACATGTAAAGTTCTTCACCAAGCTCTCCATGTAAGAAAGCAGTCTTTACATCAAGTTGCTCCAGCTCCAAATCAAAAAGAGCAACAAAAGCAAGTAGAACACGTATAGAAGTATGACGAACAACTGGAGAAAAAATCTCGTTAAAGTCAATACCTTCACGTTGATCAAAACCTCGAACAACTAACCGTGCCTTCCACCGTGCTTTCTCAACCCCAGGAATGCCTTCTTTCTTTTTGTAAATCCACTTACAGCTCAATGGGCGTTTACCTTTCGGCAACTCTACCAGCTCCCAAGTCTCATTCTTATGGAGACTTTCCATCTCTTCTTGCATAGTAATCAACCACTTGGACGAGTTGGCACAGGAAATAGCCTCAGAATAGCAGGATGGATCACCATCAACCTCCTGTGCAACTGAAAGCGCATAAGCAACCAAGTGGATTTCATCGTCACTAGCGTACCTAGCAGGTTTTTTAATTGTCCCCCTAGGCCGATCTTGGGCAATAGAGTACTCTCGCTGTGGCTCGACGAGAGGTGCGGTACTTGTAGATGCGATGAATGTATGGTTCTGCGTATATGATTCAATGAATGATAACGATATACAAGAGTACAGGATATATAGGATAGAGTCCTATGCAACATAGACTTATAACCACAATATGACATATGATAACATAATCCCTAATACGCCCCCGCATACTCATGTTGGGAGAGAGATAACATTGAGTTTGTCACGCAAGACAGAGAACCGCTCAGAACCAAGAGCCTTCGTGAATATATCCACGATCTGATCCTTGGTAGAAATAAACTGAACCACAAGCTCCCCAGAAGCAACCTTGTCACGGACGAAGTGATAGTCTATCTCCACGTGCTTGGTCCTAGCGTGAAAAACAGGATTAGAACAGAGATATGTCGCCCCCAAATTGTCACACCACAGACGAGGTGAAGAAGGGAGCTGTATACCCAACTCGTTAAGCAAGGAAACCAACCACGTGACCTCAGCAGAGGCATCTACAAGCCCCTTGTATTCAGCCTCCGTAGACGACCGTGCCACAGTTTTCTGCTTCCGGCAGGCCCAAGAAACCAGATTACCACCTAGATAAACCGCAAAGCCACTCGTAGACTTCCTGTCAACTGGACAACCAGCCCAATCAGAGTCAGAATAGACATGAACATCCAAAGAATCAGACTTGGCGATCCGAAGCCCAAAATGGAGAGTGCCCTTCACATAGCGGAGCACATGCTTCAGAGCGACCCAATGAGCATCTGTCGGAGCATGCATGAACTGACACAACCTGTTTACCGCATAGGATAAGTCCGGTCGAGTAATGGTAAGATATTGCAACGCACCTGCGAGCCGACGATAAGTAGTGGGATCGGACAACAAATCAGATGAACCGGTAGACACAAACTTCGAAGTAGTTACAGGAGTAAGAATAGGCTTACAGTCCACCATCCCTGCACGCCGCAGAATATCAGTCATATAACAACGCTGGGACAACACCAGCGCGCCATCAACATCCACAGTCTCAATTCCCAAGAAAAAATGCGGAGTACCCAAGTCACGAATCTTGAACGCCTCGGCAAGACGATTGAAAAGAGTTGACACAAGATTCAAGTCACTCCCCATAATAAGGATGTCATCCACGTACACCAGCATAGACACGGCAATCAGACTCAGCATAGACAAACAGGGAAACATCAGTTTTAGACGATTGAAAACCAACACTGAGGAGAAAATCATGCAACTGCCGAAACCAGGCACGGGGAGCCTGTTTCAAACCATATAAAGACCGTTGCAAGAGACACACGTGATCAGGATACTGCTTATCAACATACCCGGGTGGCTGCCGCATGTAAACCGTCTCAGCTAAACGCCCATTGAGAAAGGCGTTGTGCACATCCAACTGACGCACAGCCCACCCCCGGGACACAGCCAATGCAAGCAACAAGCGAACCGTAGTAGGCTTCACAACAGGACTAAAAGTGTCGAAGAAGTCCTCTCCAGCCACCTGACTGAAGCCCTTCGCCACTAAACGAGCTTTGTGACGCTCAACAGACCCATCAGCTGTCCGTTTAACACGGAAAACCCATTTACAACCGACAACATTCTGACCTGGGCGAGGAGGAACCAAACGCCAAGTATCATTTTGCAACAAGGCGTTGAACTCCGAATACATAGCCGCACGCCACTCGGGAAACGCCACGGCCTGGGAGTAACATGTGGGCTCCGAGCTAACCACCGCAGCAAAAGCCCGTCCAGCCCGAGCGGCCCGAGTAGTGTGTCTGAGCTCCATAGGATGATCACGGATCTGAGAACGAGTACGGGCCCTCTTCCTGCGAGGCGCAACCGAAGCCGGTGCCACCAAACCACCAAAAATGGACTGGACAGGAGCTGTAACACCCCCAAAACAAGACCTAAAAACAAGTCTTAACACATGCAGATTAACAACAAAACTAGCACAGCGGAAGATAAACGGAAACTGGATAAAAGAAATCCAAAAAGGGGTGTTATGCCACGTATACCACACTAGGTAACGCTAAGGCGACAATCTGCAAGTGTATACAACTATCCCAAAAACATCAATCTAAGACAATCTAAAACCATTGGCGCACAGGCCACAAAAACACAGTCTAAAGATACAGGTGCTAAGCTACCAGGCTCTAGACATCGCGCTCGACTACTCAACACCTGAAAGATACAAAGTAAACATCGGGGCGACGCCCGGTCAGCGAATAATGCTGGAAACCCACCAATACCGTTAAGTATCATAAATAGGTAGATATATGATATAAAAACCATTTTCGAAACGGAATACATATATATAAGTCAAAAGCCAAGATCAAAAGACAACACAAGACTCACCACTCACAAGGATAACACCGGGAACACATCCCAACCACAAAGGTTAATCACACACAAGAATAAAGACTCACCCAACGGTAACACATGCCAAAACACCACAAGTCTCCGTGACTACACACGTCACGAGAGAAGATCACACAACACCGGCTTTAAAAGCCCTCGCAACATCACCCATCACGAGTTTGGTATGCCTTCCTTATGCCCTGTTCCAACCTTATGGCTAACCCCAACCTTGTACCTTCAAGCCAACCATTACCTCCAAGATCCCCTGTACAGCCAAGTCCAACCTTGTTCCGCCGGGACCGTCGTCCCCCACCTATAACCACCAACGAACCACCACCAATCATGGCAACACATGCCCGGATAACACAATGTTATCCCCCAATCACGTGGATCCATCACTCAGGCCACAACTCCATATTCACGTCACGGCCACCACGAGGACCGCTGCAATACCTTGGTGACTAGTGTCCCATACCACTAATCGTGCAATCCTGGTAGAGCCACACACGCACCACCACTCACACGAATCAATCAACGGATTGCAAGGAAGGTATGAAACACACTCAATCAAGGAACGGGTCACAGCCCACAACAACAACGATGCATAACACAAGTTATCATCAACCAAACGGAAGGTACAAACCACACACACGCTAGTATTAAGACAACGAACTAGCATGCTTAACAACGGGGAAACTCAAGATAGTTCCGAGGAACACACAAGACACCTCTTGGTCCAACGAAACACAATGTTGAACACTTACCACGAATCAAGACACCAAAGATCCTACATGGATACCTACCATATAGTTCTAGACCTACGAAACATCAAGAAGACACTCAAATAGTTCCACAAAAAAAAACATCGGGAAGCCAAAAGATCAAACACCAAGACAACCAAATCACGGGGAACAAATCCCAACATCACCACAACCATGTACCCGCGGGTGGACCCACGGGTAGTGCCCCACCCGTGGTCCCGCCCGCGGGAACAATATCCCACGAGGCTGTGTACCCGTGGGTAGGCCAACGGGTGGTGCCCCGCCCGCCGTTCCGCCCGCGGGAACATACCTGTTCCACAACAAATCCCTTCGGGGATTTTCTTCTCCAAACACAAATTCAAGTCCAAAACATGCCAAATCTCACAAAATGCAACAAAATGACTTGAACCAAGGAAAATGCCAAGCAATGGCACAAAGGAATCCTAAACACAAGCTCTAGATATGCAATATCACAAGATAAATGCATAAACTCTCGCATTTCATAGTAAAACACAAGTAGAATCCAAGAAATCACATATAGGTAAGCAAAATAGGTTTTGTAGAGCATGGGTTACCTCTTGAAGACCAAAAGACTTCTCTTACACCACAACAAACTCTCCACTAAGCTCACTAGCCAAACCCACTTCAAGATCAAACCAAAAGATCATAAAGATCCCACCTTTAAGAAAAAAACAACTAAGATGGAACCAAAAAGACTAGACAAGCTTAGATCTTACCCTTCTAGATGCTCAAATAGATGAAAGATTGAATCTTGGAAGCAAAACTTGGAATCTTGACAAAGGTCTCACTTGGCTTGAAGAACAAGCTACTCTTCTTTTCTAGAGAGAAGGTAGAGATATTTTCTAGGAATTGCAAGGGATGAAATGAAGAAGTCTTCTAGGTTTAAGTTACAATACTAGCTCTTGGTGAAAAGACAAGGATAACCTTACTAACTCTTAGAAAGTGTAAGAAACAAGGGAACTCCTCTTAAAGCACAAGGTACAACACAACTTAAAGATTGACTAGTCAAATACTAGTCCTTGAGTATTAAAAATCAGGATTTTAGGAATCAATTCCTCAAAGAAATAGAACTAATTACTCAATTAATTCATGGATTGGAGTGTCACAGGAGCCATCTCAGTAGCCACAGAATCGGACAAAACAGGCACATTATTGGCCAAAGGTGCCAAGGCCGAAACACCCCAAGGCACGGGCGTAGAAACCGCAGCGGCATAGGACTCAACAGGAGCAGCAAAAGGGAAAGAACCCTCATCAAACCTAACATGTCTACATATGAAAACACGATTAGATTGTAAATCAAGACACCGATACCCCCGAAACGACTCAGGATACCCCAGGAAAACACAACGAGAGGAACGAAACTCCATCTTGTGACGATTATAGGGACGAAGATACGGAAAACACAGGCACCCGAAAACACGCAAAAACGTATAATCAGGAGACCGACCAAACACAAGAGGATATGGACTGACATTAGCCAACACAGAGGAAGGCAACCGATTAATCAGAATCGTGGCAGCCTCAAACGCAAAAAACCAGAAACACGACGGAACAGATGCCTGAGCAAGAAGAGCAAGGCCAGTCTCGACAACATGACGGTGCCGACGCTCAACCCGCCCATTCTGCTCGTGCGTGTAAGCACAGGATTGACGGTGTATAATACCCAGACTAGAGAACAACTTGCCAAGCTTTTTATATTCCCCCCAAGATCCGACTGAATAGAGATTATAGAACGCGAAAACTAACGCTCAACACGAGCACTAAATTTGGGAAAAATATCATAAATGTCTGTTTTTAAATGCATCGGGTAAATCCACATATAACGAGAAAAAATCGTCAACAAACAAAACAAAATAACGAAAACCATCATTAGACAAAACCGGAGCAGGGCCCCAAATGTCAGTGTACACAAGATCAAGAACATTGGTACTATTATTGCTAACACGAGGAAGGGGAAAACGGGAAGATTTTCCCAACTGACAAGCTGAACACAATGACTCAGAGCGAGCTAAACTAGAATCATTAACAGGACAACTACGCAGAATAGAACGAAGAACCCGAGAATGCGGATGGCCGAGACGACAATGCCACGCACGCGAGGAAGCTCTAGCAGACAGGAAAGCCACGGGACTGGAACCTGGAAGAGTGTATAGACCACCGGAACTCTCACCTTTAAGCAAGACGGCCTTGGTTTCGCGATCCTTCACAAAAAAAGAGGAGGGGTGAAACTCAAAGTAGACATTATTGTCAGCGGCAAAACGCTGAACAGACAGTAAAGAATGCGATAAACCAGGCACAAGAAAAACACGAGGTAAAGACAAAGAACGAGAAGGAGAAGGAACAACAGAACGACCAACTCCAGAGATGGGCAAACCTGTGCCATCCCCAACACGAAGTGTATCACCACCGTGATACGGATCAACATTAGACAAGGCATTGATGTCCGGAGTCACGTGATCACTCGCTCCCGTATCTGGGAGCTATGTGTGCGAAAAAGCACTATCATCCAAAGCAGCTGTCTGTACCAAATTAGCTTGAGGGGCGTCACTGTAGTGTTTAAAACAAGACAAAGCAGTGTGTCCAATAACATTGCATAACTGACATTTAGGTGCATAATTCCTGTTACCACCGCCACGCCCCCTTTGACCACCACGTCGCCCTCCACCTCGCGCAGGCTGCCACCGCCCACGACCACCGTTCTGACCAGAACCGCTGCCACTGCCTCGCCTAGTCCGAGACGCCACCATGGCAGACGGAGTAGGAAGCAGCCCACGCGCTGCCTCATCAACATCATCAGCGCAAATAAATTGATGCGCCGTCAAGTAGTCGGAAAGCTGCCCAATTGTAACAGCTGCACCTTTGACGGCAAGAGAAGACGCCAAAGCACGATACTCCGGCCGGAGACCTCTAAACACATAGAGGTTTTGTTCATCCAAAGACAATGGGCGTCCGGCGAGAGCCAATTCTTCAAGAATCACTTGGGCACGGCCGAGATATTCCGCGGTGGTGGAGTCACCCTGGCGGAGGCCCTGAAGCTGGCTGAGCAGGCTTAGAGAACGAGCCCTCGTCGACGACCCGAGTGCAGCTTCAACAGCAGTCCAAACTGCCCGGGAAGAGTCACGGCCAACTGCTAGGTATATGCATTCATCAGAGAGAGAAGAGATGAGCATGGATAGGATAGATTGACCCTGCTGCATCTAGAGAGCATGCGCGGGGTTGGCAACAGCAGTCGAACCGGCCGCATCAGGGAGGAACGCAGGTGGACATGGAAACGAGCCGTCGACGTAACCGATGAGATTCTGACCGCGTAGAAAGGGCACCAACTGCGTACGCCAAAAAAGATAGTTCTTGGACGTAAGCTTCAGAGAAACAAAATGGTGAGCAGATTGGAGAGAGATTGGAGCCGCCGCCGGAGAAGACAACGCAGAGACGGTACGACTATCAGAAACGGAGACATTATCGTTGACCATAATCCCTGGAATCTGATACCAGATGAATGTATGGTTCTGCGTATATGATTCAGTGAATGATAACGATATACAAGAGTACAGGATATATAGGATAGAGTCTTATGCAACATAGACTTATAACCACAATATGACATAGGATAACATAATCCCTAATAGATGCATCATCTTTAATATTGCCATTAGTGGTAGTAATACTATCATTAGGCCTGAACTCATACTCCACCTTATCACCAGTACCCTGCGTCTCACCTGTACTGGAATCTTTTCCAGAAGAAAGTAGTGCATTTTCGTCAAAAGTGATATCTCGACTCAGAATGATTTTTTGAGAATCAGGAGACCATAGACGATACCCTTTTGACTCAGAGGCATAACCAAGGAAAATGCATTTGACAGCTCTCGGGTTTAATTTACCCGTACTGGAATGAGCATAAGCAGGACATCCAAAAACTCTTAAGATAGAGTAGTCAACAGGATTACCTGACCAAACTTCCTATGGAATTTTGAAATCAAGGGATGAGTGTGGAGATCTATTTACCAAATAGCAAGCAGTAGAAACGGCCTCGGCCCAAAAATCACACCGTTTCCATAACCCAGCATTAGAGAGCATACAACGAGCTCTTTCCAATAATGTCCTGTTTAGACGTTCGGCAACACCATTTTGCTGGGGTTTACCAGGCAAGGTCTTGTGCCTGGCGATTCCATTTGCCGAACAGAAGTCATTGCAATCTGACTCACAGAATTCCAAGCCATTGTCTGTCTTGAGCTTCTTGACCTTTTTCCCTGTCTGAGTCTCAACAAGTATTTTCCACTTTTTGAAAATAGGAAAAGCCTGATTTTTGTGTTTTAAGAAATATCTACAGCCTCCCATAGACTGGAATTTAGTC